TTGGGCATCTTCTCCATTCTCTTTCACTTCTTGTGGTGGGGCATCTTTTCCATTCTCTTTCACTTCTTGTGGTTGTGCATCTTTTTCATTCTCTTTCACTTCTTGTGGTTGTGCATCTTTTTCATTCTCTTTCACTTCTTGTGGTTGTGCATCTTCTTCATTCTCTTTCACTTCTTGTGGTTGTGCATCTTTTTCATTCTCTTTCACTTCTTGTGGTTGTGCATCTTTTTCATTCTCTTTCACTTCTTGTGGTTGTGCATCTTTTTCATTCTCTTTCACTTCTTGTGGTTGTGCATCTTCTTCATTCTCTTTCACTTCTTGTGGTTGTGCATCTTTTTCATTCTCTTTCACTTCTTGTGGTTGTGCATCTTTTTCGTTTTTATTCACTTCTTGTGGTTGTGCATCTTTTTCATTTTCTTTCACTTCTTGTGGTTGTGCATCTTCTTCATTCTCTTTCACTTCTTGTGGTTGTGCATCTTTTTCATTCTTATTCACTTCTTGTGGTTGTGCATCTTTTTCATTCTCTTTCACTTCTTGTGGTTGTGCATCTTTTTCATTCTCTTTCACTTCTTGTGGTTGTGCATCTTTTTCATTCTCTTTCACTTCTTGTGGTTGTGCATCTTTTTCGTTTTTATTCACTTCTTGTGGTTGTGCATCTTTTTCATTTTCTTTCACTTCTTGTGGTTGTGCATCTTCTTCATTCTCTTTCACTTCTTGTGGTTGTGCATCTTTTTCATTCTTATTCACTTCTTGTGGTTGTGCATCTTTTTCATTCTCTTTCACTTCTTGTGGTTGTGCATCTTTTTCATTCTCTTTCACTTCTTGTGGTTGTGCATCTTCTTCATTCTCTTTCACTTCTTGTGGTTGTGCATCTTTTTCATTCTCTTTCACTTCTTGTGGTTGTGCATCTTTTTCATTCTCTTTCACTTCTTGTGGTTGTGCATCTTTTTCATTCTCTTTCACTTCTTGTGGTTGTGCATCTTCTTCATTCTCTTTCACTTCTTGTGGTTGTGCATCTTTTTCATTCTCTTTCACTTCTTGTGGTTGTGCATCTTTTTCATTCTCTTTCACTTCTTGTGGTTGTGCATCTTTTTCATTTTCTTTCACTTCTTGTGGTTGTGCATCTTTTTCATTCTCTTTCACTTCTTGTGGTTGTGCATCTTTTTCGTTTTTATTCACTTCTTGTGGTTGTGCATCTTCTTCATTCTCTTTCACTTCTTGTGGTTGTGCATCTTTTTCATTTTCTTTTTCTTTCTTTTTTTCTTTTTTTCCTAAACTTACATCATTAATTTCATCATTTACTAATAAATTTTTGTTCTCTTTTTTTGTATACTTTTGCTCTTTTTTTCCTTTTGGTGTTCCTTCCTTCTCTTCTGTTTCTGTTGTATTTATTAATTCAAATTGTTTTTCTTCATTGTCATTTTTATTTAATACATTCTCATTTACATGTTTTTGTTCATTACCTGATATCTTTATATCCATTATTTTTTTAGATTTATTTGTTCATATTTTTATTATACATTTAAAATATATTAATTATATAATTATATTTATAATAAATATCATTATCAAATACAAAATCCTTTAAAGATGAATTAAAAAAGAACACCTCTTAATTTATTTTTTAAACGATGGTTAATTAATAATTAATTGTGTTTATATTCATATTTATTTGATCTTTTTTGATGTTGGTAATATCTTCCAATGTTTCTTTTTTACTTTTCTTTTGTGTTTAATTAAAATTCAAATTAAATAAATTAATAATTTTCAAAATCGAATTTAATTACAAGAATTGATGAATGATTTTTATATAAATTATATCGGGTTGATTTTTTCGACAACACAGATAATTAATAAAACATTATCCAGTAAAAAATAATGATATTATTTTTTTTAAACGAAGAAAAAATATTACCCAATTTAAATGTTACAGTAAATTTAAAAATACATTTTTATTATATCAATTATTACAAACTCTTTGAAAATTATCTGTCTTTTTTATAAAACAATAACTCCAAATGTTTTTATATTATTTTTTTAAAAAAAGTTGTTATTTCATGAAACAATTCATAATAATTTTTAGTTACCGAAATAGTATTATATATTATATATCAATAATTGTAATTATTATGAAGATTTGAATAAAAATAAATGTGTTATACAAACCTAACCGAGTAACTTCAAGTTAAATTGGTTAAATTTATAAATAATTACTTCATTTAGATAACACAACTATACTTTATAAATATTTTTATTATAATTTACTATTTGAAATTTGGTCAACATTACACCATTTTTCAACATATTTTTACAATTAAAAACACACTATTCGATTCTGAAAAGGATTTTTACATAAAAATCATTTAATTTTGTTCATTTACACCAAACCCAAACAAAGCAAAGTCTCCCAAACATGGATCACCAGGAAAAACAATATTAAGTTCTTTAGTAATAGTTCTAGCATTACTCAGTGAGTACGATTTACTCTTAGTCAGTCCAATTTGACACGCAATTTGACTGACATGTGTATCGAGTGGAATAAGCAGATCTTGTTGTGAGAACGACTTCCAAATACCAAAGTCGACTTCGGAGTCTTTTCTGATCATCCATCTCAGAAACATGTTGACCTTCTTTTGTGGTGCATTAGATGTGACTCCAAAAAGTGTACAGAGACGTTCCATTGGTGTTCCTTCAAGTGTTTGAATAGCGTCTTCCATACTTTCATTAGTGGTGTATATCATGTGTAACCACTCAAACAGTTCTCTCATCCTTCCTTTAGAAATAGTTCGATAAAACGTTTCATTCCCAATAAAGTCCTCCCGCCATTTTTCTCCTTTGACATATTCAAGTGGCGCTTTAGAGAACAGTACATCGACACTTTCAGCCGCCTTAATAATAAGTGGACGTGACCCAAAGCTCAAAAATGATGTCACAAACCCACTGATTTCAATGTCCTGTTTTCTCAAATATCGATGTGGAAACTGAATGGGGTCAGATTTAATAAATTCTTTTGTGTGATATTCTTTTGCGTATTTCAGAAGAAATTTATCGACTTCTTCTTTCTTTGTTTTCATCGTTTTTTTTATTGAGTTGGAGCTTCATTTGGTTGTACAATTTAACTTATATTATAAACAAATATAGTATACTATATTATACTATATTATACTATATTATACTATATTATACTATATTATACTATATTATACTATATTATACTTGAATTATTATAAAAAATAAATTATATACTATATATTACTATATTATATAATACAGAATTATTAACAATACTGTATTATATAATATACATCTAATTAATTAAAAAAATAAAATAGAATATGAAATTAAAAACGAAGTGTTTTATCGATTTTAAAGCAACAAGAAAATAGCACATATGACAACAAACAACTTTGTCATATCCACACCATCTTTAGGCTGTTCAGGATTTGTCCCTTGTGAAGTTGAAACACTACTAGTCTCATTAGTTTCACTCTCTGTAGAATTTCCATTGAATGAAGAATCAGATGTTTCTGGTTCTTTTGAGTTGTTTGATTCTTGTGGGGTTTGAGAGCTCGTTGAATTATCATCTTTAGTGACACAAGTACCATTAACGACTACAAAAGTATTATCAATACATTGAGTACAAACACTCTCAGAAGAACACGCCAAACAATTTTGTATATTGCAAGAAGTGCAGACCTTAGCTGTTTGCCCTTCGACTACTTTTGAATACATTCCAACACCACAGTCTTCTACACATTCATTGCCCTTGATACTCTTATTTTCACATGTAGTGCAAGAGGAGTCTTCCTTATAGTATCCATCAGCACACGACTCACAACTAAATTCATTTGAACATGTTAAACACCCTAATGGGCAATTCTTACATGTAACATTGTCTAAGTAATATCCATTAGAACAGGTCTCTACACACATTTTGTCTTGTATGAAGTAATTATCAACACATGTATCGCAGACATTTTCAGCATCGGTACATGTACTACAATGGAAAGCTTCTAAACACTTTCCACACTTCTTTGGGACTGTCTCAGAGAGCACAAAGACGCCATTCTCTCGACAATTATCGACACATTCGCCATTCAGAATGTACTTATTTTCATCAGTACATGTCATACATTGTGTAGCGTCAATACAAGTGTTACAATTTGCACCACAACTCTCACAGAATCGAGTCTCTATATCACCATATTTAGTGTCACCACACTCATTCACACACTTTTTCAGATCTCCATCAGTCAATCCAAACGATGGAGCTGCACATTGAGTCACACAAGTGTATGGTTTGCTCGTTTCAGAAGTGAACATATCCTCTGGACATGTATCATAGCATATGTTATTGATCTCATCATAGTACTTATCACATGTATTCTTCTCACAAATGTGTGTCGCGCTATTCCCAATATACCCGCTTGGACACTTAATGTAGCACATAGACCCGGGGTATTGGAAGTATGGCGCATTACAAGTACTATCACATGTATAATTTTCAGGGTATGTAATCCCATTCGTACATTGTTTTACACACGTCCAAGTCTTCTTATCTGAGTAGTAAGGAATTGGACAGACTGCTACACATGTTTTAGTACCATCTTCTTCTGTATATGTAAATACACCCTCCGCTTTACATGTCTCTGCACAGAGTAACTCATCGGGGTATCTCGTTGTTGTAGCTGGACATGTACTAACACACCTCCAATTCCCTTTCTCTTTCAATCTGTAGAGACCATTTGGACATGTCACGTTACATATGGTGTTGTACAAATACGTCATTTCTGGACAACTAATCACACACTCATAACTCACTACATCTGTCTTTAAAGTACCAGGACACGTCTCTTGGCAAAGGCGATTGATTTCATCTTTGTATGTGCCGTTAGGACATATGTCAACACACATCGCCGTGTCGTACGTCCCGAAGTATGGCTTGGGGCAACTCCCGACACATTCCATACTGAAATTGTTTGTGTAAGTAGTACTGTCGCACTCCAGCACACATTTAACTTCATTGAAAGTGTATTTGTAGTATGGACTTGGGCACTCAGACACACATGTTTTGTTCTCATAGATTGGGATGAGTACATCTTGAGGACATGTGTTGTAGCACATTCTATCTTCCTCGTATGTGAATTCTGGACATGTCTCAACGCATTTAAAGTTGATTAAATCCGCATATGTATATGTTGTATTACACGTCTCAACACACATCATCTCCACTTCATCTTGTAACAGAGGTTCTACACAATGAGTAAGACATTGCATATTAATTACATCAGTGTATGTACCATTAGGACATACGCTCACACACATCTTGTTGTCTCCATACAAGTATTTACCAGTGCAACTACTCACACAAGACATGTCTTCAATGTCAATGTAACTTCCTGTTGGGCAGTCAATGACACACGTCATTGTGCTGTTATCTGAGTACAAAGGAGATGGGCACTTCCCGTAGCATTTCCATTCTTCAGTGTATGTATATCGCCCCTCTTGACATGGGTATGAGCACGTTTTCAACTCCTCATCTTTATAAAGGTTCTCAACACATGTACTGTCGCACTTCTTGAATGTATCTGTGGTGGTCGAATACAAGTCATCGGGACACTTTAAAGTGCAGTTTCTGTTAATGAAGTCGTTGAAGTAATCAGATGGGCAATTTAAGAGGCATTCCATAGTAGTTCCATCTGAGTACTCAAACAAGTTGTCTGGGCAGTTTTGGTAACACAAACTGTCTTTAGGATATGTGTACGTCCCATTAGGGCATACTTCCACACACTCCTTAAAGCCAACAATATAAAAGAGTCCTTCTGGACATACACTGTAACACATTTTCTCTGTCTTAGAGACATACGTGCCTTCGGGACAGTTATCTTCGTAACAATACTTATCAACTACATTTGTATAGAGTGGGTCTTGGCACTTTCCAGAGTCACATGTCTTGTTGATATCGTTAGTGTAATACTCCTCTGGACATTCATAAATGCACGTGTTGTTAAATTCAATAGTAGATACACTGCACTGGGCAACACATGTTCTCATCATCTCAAACACTTTTAAGGTATCCGGGCACTTCAACACACACTTGTAATTGACTAAATCGATATAATATGTACTCACATCACAGTCGTCGACACACACGTGTGTATCTTCAAGTTGATAATAGTAGTCTGGGCACCCATTCTCAAAGCACTCTTTATTCTCTTTATTGACATATTGTGTATCACTGCACTTGTCTCTACACATATAGTTAGAGCGGTCAGTATACTCATTCAGACATTTAGACATGTAGCAAGTCTTATCCAATTCAGATTGATATGATTGACTTGAACATGTAGCCACACATGTATTAGTTAACTCGTCCTTGTACATCTCATCTGGGCAACTGTCATAACACACCTTATTTGTCACATCAACAACACGACCAGCCGGGCAAACACTCAAACACTTTTTAGTGACAATATCAGTATATATAGTGGATGGACATGAAGCAACACATTGATTGTTCACTTCATCAGTGTATTCAGTTAAACATGTGTTGTAACACTTCTGTGTGGTCTCATCCAAGTACTTAAATTCATTTGGACATTCAGCAAAGCACATTATATGCGCCTCCGGGGCGACGGAATTGTCTTCTACAGAGTAAAACCCTTCAGGGCAACTATCTTTAGAGCATTGCTTCTTATAATCAGTCAAATTGACGACATAAGTGTCACTTGGACATTCATTATAGCACTTCGAGTCATATTCAAACAACTCACTTGGGCACGTCTTGTAACACAATTGTTCTTCAAAGTGTTGGAAAAGTGGAGCTACACAGTTTTCAACACAGCTTTTCTCTTCCTCAAAAGTGAAGAGTGGATTAGTGCAACTCTCGTCACAAGTAAAGGTATTGGTGTTCTTATATAAAGGCTCTTGGCAACTGTCTCCACACAACTTGTTGGTCACATCTTTGTATCTTCCTGTAACACAATCATCGACACACTCGTTAGTGACATTATCATAGAATGCAGGACATATTGAGTAACATTTCTTATTAATTGTATCGATAATTTGAGTCTCTTTACATGTACTAACACACTCTCTATTGTCAACATCAGTTAAAACTTCACATGTATCTACACAGAGATCGCCAGACTTGTACTTCCCT